CACTGTCGATCTCACTATCGATCTCACAATCGATCTCACAGTCGATGTCACAATCGATCTCACGACGACAACGACGAGCAACATCGTCATCATCAACATCATCATCATCATCATCATTATCATCATCGGGACACCATCATCATCACCATCATCAATCATCATCATCACCGTCATAGTCATCATCATCGGGACACCATAATCATCATCAACATCATCATCATCAACAGCATCATCATCGTGACACCATCACCATAATCATCTCATCATCATCCTCAACATCGTCATCACCATCCTACTAATAAGAATAATAATAATAATCATCATCATCATCGGGACACCATCATCGTCATCATCATCAACCTAATAATCATCATCATCACCGTCGGGACACCATCATCATCATCAACATCATCATCAACGTCATCATCATCATCATCACACCATCATCATCATCAACATCATCATCATCACCATCATCAACATCATCATCAACATCATCGTCATCGGGACACCATCATCATCAACATCGTCAACGTCATCATCACCATCACCACCATCATCATCACCATCATCACCATCATCACCATCATCACCATCATCATCTTACAATCGATATGACTATCGATCTCAAAATCGATATCACTATCGATCTCACAATCGATCTCACATTCGGTCTCACGATCGATATCACAATCGATCTCACAATCGACGTCATCATCATCATCAGTATGAACAACATCAACATCAGCATCATCGCCATCATCAACATCATCATCATCACCATCATCATCATCATCACCATCATCATCGTAATGATCATCATAATCATCATCAACATCATCATCGGGACACCGACGGGACACCGACGGGACACCGGGACACCGGCGGGACACCGCGGGCCCCCGGCCGCCCGGAAGGGAGTCATTTGGTCCGGCCGCGCCTCAGCCACACGGGACACCAGCGGGACACCGGCGGGACACCGCGGGCCCCCGGCCGCCCGGAAGGGAGACATTTGGTCCGGCCGCGCCTCAGCCACAGGAGACTTTCTCTCGCTCGCCCACGCAGCTTCGCCTCGCCCGCCCCGCATGCACAGCACGCACGAACACGAAACCGAAATCGATTTCCCGGTAGGGGGGCTCTCCGTTCCACTTCGATCTCACCCCCTCACCTCCGACTACGACTACTACGACTACGACTACTACTACCTACTACAAGTACTACGACTACTACTACTACTACTACTACTACTACTACTACTACTATCACTACTACTACTACTACTACTACTACTACTACTACCACTACTACTCGTACTACTACGACTACTACTACTACTACTACTACTACTGCTACTACTACTACTACTACTACTACTACTACTACTACGACTACTACTACTACTACTACTACTACTACTACTACTACTACTACTACTACTGAGGGGGGGGAAGCGCAAATCATGGCCGGCGGCATGTGCGTGGCCCTTGGGGGGGGGGCCAGGGACGTAGTGAAATAAGAAGAGGTACCATGAGATCTGAAGAACTGTCATGGCCGACGGCATGATATCCACCCCCCCTAGTCATCACCCCCCGCTTTGCCGCCCCCGAGAAGCCGGTCCCTGAGATCCGACGTCTCGAAAAGAAGTGCGCCACCGCGAGCAAATCACGACCGGAGCCGGGGATCAGAGGCCATCAGGTGGACGTCAGGGGAAGTTCTATCTGGCCCAACCCAGCTTATGCGCGGGTTGCTGCTGCCCCGAGAAGCTCAGGGACGGGAGGCCGGTTCCTGAGGCCCGACGTCGCGACAAGAGTATCACGTCGCTACCAAATCACAGATGAGGAACAGAAGCTGGAGGCCTCGCGCGGCACCCTGAGGCAAAATGTACGTCGGATCCGCAACAGTGTTGCGTCGGGTTGACGTCAGATTGTTCCAGCTTTACTTAGAATTCACGTCGGGTCCTCGTTGGCGTTACGTCGGGTTTACTTGGAGGCCTGGAAATGGGCACCAACACCAACACAGGGGTTGCCTCCAGTGGACGCACACCGCCGACATTGGAGTTGGTGTCAATCTCTAGGCCTGCTACTTACGTCAGATTGTCTCAGATGTCCTGAGAATTCACGTCGGATTCACGTCGGACTGCGACATCGGAGCGTCGCCGCGCGAGCGTCGTCCCATGTCGGACGGGCCAGGCGTGCGGAGTAGATCACACAACTCTTGCGCGATCTGCGCGAGGCCCCGAGGAGTTCTCCCCAGAGATCACGACCGGAGCCTTAGACATCTTCGTCCCCATCTTGCGAGCTGGATCGATGCGTGATGGTCCTGCGGGCCCGAAGCTGGGCGAGAACGCCCGGTTCGAAAAAATTGGGGCGCCGGGCTCTCAGGTGTGTCGAGACGGGGGTCCACGTTGCAACAGCAGCAACAAAAAGAGCAGCGTCGGAGTTCAATGATGGCAACGACAGCAACGGTCACAACGGTCACAAATATAACACACAACAAACACGAAAACAGCGCTGTTGTCGTTGCGATCGTTGTCGCTGCGTTTGCAATTGTTATCGTTGTGATCGCTCTTAGCGTTGTTATGAGGGAATCGAACTCTATACACCGACGCTCTTTCCGGCCCTGCATTGAAGTTTGCTCTGGAGAGCGGATCCTGGTGTATACGGGACCCTGGTGTATACATTTTTCGTTGCTTCCCTGGGACCTCGTGGAACAAAGTATACACCACACCACCCCAGCGTCGCCCCCGTCCCTCAAAAAAAGTCCTGGGATTGAAAAGCAGCCCGCCACTGGTACACGCCGGTCGGAAGAAGTAGGTAAAAACATGAAGTAGGAAGGCGTTGGAAGTAGATTGGGCTTCCACCCGAGGAGGAAAGAAGGAAAACCGCTCGCCTCTTGAAGCAGGAAGGCGCCCAAAGTAGATCAGGATCTGGGCATCCAACAATACCCACGTTCAACGACCGGCGTGTAATGTGCATGCTCCCGTCTCCGAGTTATTGTTAATGCAGGATGACGATTGATAAACAACATGGGGGGGAACGATTAAAAAAATACTTTCCTGCTATTGCTGCACAAGTTGCCGACTGGAACACGACTGCAAAAATAGTTGTCCGGCCCGCGGCCGGTTTTTTCTAATCGTCATCCCGGGCGCCGCCGCGTGAACACGACCCCCGGTCATTTATGAATCGTCATCCTCCATTATCATCGCTGTCGTTGTTCTCGTTGTTGGAGGGCAGGGGCGGGGCGGGGCGGGGCAGGAGGGCAGGAGGGGGCCCAGGGGCTGGGCCAGGAGCGCGGAGGCAGGGGGCGGGGCCGGTGGCGGGCCGAGGCGGGTGGATGATTTGGCGGCGTGCAGAGGGGGGTAGGGGGAGGGGGAAGGCTTCTTAGAAGCACCTGCTTCTAGAAGGCCCGGCCTTCCATCTATAGATAAGGCCCGCGCCTTCTAAGAAGCAGGGGTGTTTCTAAGAAGCCTTCCCCCCTCCCCCTACCCCCCTCTGCGCGCCGCCAGATGATGACGGAGGCATCCTGGATGGCATGATCGAGGCATCCATAGATGATAGAGGCGTCCTGGATTCGTGGACGCCACGACCATCGACACCCGAGCAGTCCGATCGTCGAGTTAAAAAATGTGTGTGTTCGGGATGTCGGACAAGGGTTCTAAACATGTGCTGAAACTGTGTTTTATATGTTTGAAACATGACTTAGACATCTGGAAAGTATGTGGCAGCATGCCTCCTCTCCACTGATCGTCCTCCACAATGATAGGGGCATCCTAGATGGCATGATAGAGGCATCTTACATGACAGAGGCGTCCCAGATGATGATAGGGGGCATCACAGACGGGGTCAGAGGATCGCGCCGCCTCGGTGCTGTGACGCCGACGTCGGCACGACGAAAGTTGGGCTCCACATCGAGCCGCATCGCCCGTGCATCGGCGACGCGGCGTGACCCTCCGACCCCATCTGCTCGGACCTCATTTGGGAGGCCTTGAGGTGAGGGGAGCGTCGCTGGCCATCGCTCGGACGTCCATTCCCTGTGTTTTGTTGTCGGTTACGTGCGTGGTTTTTTCGCCAAATGATCAAGGATGCTCCTCGACTGTCCTCGCCGAAAGGAAAAATGCACACGTCCGAGCGATGCCAAGGTCGACGGTATGGCCGCATCGCCCATGCATCGGCGATGCGGTGTGACCCTCCGACCCCATCTGCTCGGACCTCATTTGGGAGGCCTTCAGGAGAGCGCCCAGGGAGGGGGCAGGAGAGGAGGAGGAGGAGGAGGAGGAGGAGGCCCAAACCCCGACCCCCTCACGTCGTGAAAAAAATCACGACGGGCGGTCTTTCCTGTATTTTCGGCCTCTTGGGGGCCCTCGCCGTGCCACGGGCCCTTCAACTCGCCATCGCTCGGACGTCCATTCCCTGTGTTGTTGTTCGGTCTCGTGCGTGGCTTTTTCGCCAAATGATCGAGGATACTCCTCGGTGGTCCTCGCCGAAGGAAAAATGCACACGTCCGAGCGATGCCAAGTCAAAAGAATACTTGGGATGGAAAGGTGGCTGGACAGGGGGGTGAGATCTCTGGGGGCCGACGTTATGAAAACATGCTGACGTCGGGACTCTGGGCAAGGCAGGGGGGGGATCCCCCTTGGCAAGCGGAGACCGCCGCTGGGGACTGCCTCATCTGATTGACTGGTACTGCCCCACCACATCAATGGCGTGTCGACGAGAACCGTGAGAGGCGGGAAGCCGCGCACCTGGGTAGCCCCCCACCAACTCGTGAAGACCCCCGCTTCCACAAGAGCAGCTATGTTCGCGCTTCGCGTTTCGCGAAGCGCAAAAGAATTTCGCGCTCTCGCGCCACCCCACCGGGGGAGACGAGAAGGGCGAGGATGAGCATGAAAAATTGCGATTCGCAGATCGCGAGCCGCGAACCGCGAACAACTTCGCGCTCTAGTGGCGGCCGTGGTTTAAGACGAAGCGCCCGCCCAGTCCCCTGCGCCCGAGCACGGTTGCTCCTCCACTTCTTCGTCCTCGTCGGCCGCCTCGGCGTCGTCCTCGTC